GGGGGGGGGTACAGTAGGCACCTGTGTAGGACCTCCCACACCATCTTCCTCCTGAACAGAGGCATGTGCTTCTCTGGGTTTTTCTCTCAATTTGTAGATACTGGAAAATGGTCTCACAGATCTCTTGTCTGTTCCCTCATATCGAATCCAGGTAGACAATATTCTTTTTCCTTAGGTCTATGGCCACCAGGGTCCAATCAACCTGCAGGTGAATTGGCAGGAGAATCAGTTCTTTTGCAAAGAGATCCACTCCCTAAGTCCATCTTCTCACTGATCTGTGGCCCCCCATGCTTCAGTTTGGTGTAAAAGAAGGTGTTAAAGGCGTAAAGCGCTGGATAGCCTTGGATTTTCTTTCTTTCCATGAGAAGATTCATGTAAAAATTGATGATTTCATCATTGAGCCACTCGGTGTCCTTTAGTGACTGTATGTCTCCACGAGCGATCTGCAGTTTGAACCGCACTACTTAAGATTTCATCTTGCGGCCCTGGGCCCAGGGCATCACTGATTTCCATGTCCTCTGTCACATCAAGGGCGATGTCCACTGCTCTGCCCTTCTCTTGGTTTGCAGGAGCCTTTTCTTCTGCCTCAAGCACTGGCATTTTGGAGGTGAGTAAGCCATTGCTGCTGCTCTGCGGGCTGATTTGGGGCCCTGCTCCTTCCAGTAAATCCAGGTGGTCCTCTGCCTTTTCAAGGTTTATTACCACTATATTCTGCATGTCAGGAATTTTCTCCTCTGAACACCTCTTTTCACTCTTTTCTGACAAGTGATGTTCTCCTGTGACAAGAGAGGCAGATTGACTGGGGTGAAATTGAGTTGTTTTGGATCCCTGAATCTGCCTTTCCCCACAGCCTTTGATCTTCAAGGTGGCTTTGGGGCTTGTGTGAGCACTGTGAGGGGCAGAGTGGACATATCACCTTGCCGATGGTGTTCCGGTAATCTCTGGTACTTTTCCTTTTGGTGTTTCTGAACACTTCTTGATCTTCAAGGTGGCTTTGGGGCTTGTGTGAGCACTGTGAGGGGCAGAGTAGACATGATCACCTTGCCGATGGTGTTCCAGTAAT